CTTTCGTCTCCTATAGCGACTTTGCTCGTATCACTTCTAGGTCAGGTAATCCGATACAACACTCTTGCGGCTCCAATTACCTAAGATGAGTTTCTAAGCGGCTAGCAACAGAAACAGCACAAAGAACAATAATGAACGAAGGACTCCTAGAAGATTTGAACCCTAAATCTAACAATTCACAAGATCAAGACATGAAATTCCCTTTGAAAAATCCATTAAAAACCCAACTAGGAAACTACTCAGACATAGTTGAGTTTAACATCACAAAAGCGTTTAGAATTGCAGAGAATTGAAATAGACAAAAGTAAGAAACAGATAACAGAGTGAAGAAGGAGGGCCAATGGTGCCCCTCTCTGTGGCTCTTCTTCTCGGCGCGTCTCTCTCTCTAGGGTTCCTGGCAAAATTCGGCACACCTCTTCTAAATGACTTAGAAGAGGTATATATAGTGTCTTGAGTCTTCGGGAATGTCTAGGGTTTGCAGAGATAATGACGGGAATGACCTGAGTTTTAAAATGGGCTTCTAAGATTCGGAAATAGGCTCCTGTTGTCTATAATGTCGCACCCGCGGTGGATGATGCTTTGGCCGCAGATCAGCTTCCGACTGTATTGATTCGCCTTCAGTGCATTGACCATATCTGGAGATCTAACGGTTGGATTGCTTCGATTCCAATTGCATTAGAAATCTGGTTTCCTCCTATATCTTGTGTCCAAATTTGGGGATGATTTGTAACACCCCCGACCCTAGTATATTCATTACTTAGATCGAGCCAGAAGCGTTACAATGCGGAGACAGACACAGACCAGCCCGAGAATCCCATACTACTCGAGCTAGTCCATGTCTGAGACCGTTCCTTGAGCTTACAGGCTATGGCTTTTCAACCCGTATTGCGAACCCAAGTTGTTTCGACCCGGACAATGTCTAATATCATTAGGACGACGTTTTTGTTAGAAAATACTTCTTTATTACATATTGAAAATCTCTTTACAAAACTATCTTCCAATACATAATATTCGATGCATCTTAACACAAAACCACGCTTAACGTGTATATATATATAGATCTTACAAGAACACTGCAATCTACTCTGGCTCGCCTAGTGTCCGTTGCATTCCCTCTATGTTCCCGGTTTTTACGGCTATCTACGAGATATAAAAGAGTCATGAGTATTCACAATACTCAGTGAGTCAAGACTCTAACACACAATCCACCAAAATCTCACATAACACACATAGCCGAAGCTCACACAAAAAGGAAAGCAATGGACAAATCAAGCCAAGCATTCACAATGACCTCACACAATCACCACACAATCAATTCACAGCGGAAGCAATTCACCAACAAGTCTTAGATCACTACTTTAAGTGCATCTACAGACTTAAACAACACCATGCAAGGGCCCCTAAAACGTGCCATGTTCCACCAAACATGCACTGATTCGACACATCTGTCCTGTGAACCACAACGCTCACTTTGATCACCACACAGGATCACAAAGCGGGTTTACGTTCCGACCATATATGCGGTCCACCGACCAGTTGGGCCACACCGTCGTGCAGCACTCGGCCAAGGGCGCGACCCTTGGTTTCTCCCCGAGCTTCACCATTGGGCCGTGCCTTGGCCGAGAAATTCCTCTGTGAATTCTCTTCGGCCTTAACTCTGCATGCAACCTATATGCAACATACAAACACTTACAGGACTCTCCCGTATTTCTCACAAGTCTTATGGGCCTCTCCCATATTTCTCACAAGACTTACGGGCCTCTCCTGTAGCCTGCCCTTCCGGGACTTCTCACTGTGCTCATCGGTTCTCAACCGACTCTTGCTCTCTTTTTGTTCTACCCGGATTTACCCTAAGCTCACCGGTCATCTACCGGGTGTTGCTTCAGCCTTTTGAGACTTATCACATCAAGCTCAACGATTACATACTGTTTATTGCCCATCTTTGCCCTTCCGCGACTTATACTTTTCTCGGCTCAGCGGATCCCACAGCGTCTTGCCTTACTTGCCCTTCTCCCGGACTTACTCTAAGCTCATTGGTCACGTGTCGGGTATTGCTTCTGCCTTACGGGATTTATTCCTTTCTCGGCTCAACATTTTCCACTGTGTCTTGCCTTATTGTCCTACTAGGACTTACCTCACTACGGCTTGACTCTCTATCTACCATCTCACACCTCTGGCTCACCGTATCCTCAATTATTTTGCCAGCACCACCATCCCAAAGCACCTATGGATACATACCCCATGGCTGCATCCGAGGATTCTCACAAGCACTGAACCACGTCCCTAATCTCTCAGGCTTAGCCGGCATGCAACCCTTATACCTGCACCAAACTCTATGGACTACAGGGAGAAATTCACTAAGGGACTCACCGTGACACTTGGATGCGCTAAGTTGGATCTTTCTCGCCTAAATCCTGTCTGCGCACCTAACCACGACCCACCTCCGCGGTCTGCTTCACACACTCTCGAACTTTCTCTCTCTAAATTCACACGGAAAGGTTTTCTAGATAAAAGCAGAGTTTTCTTGGAATGAATTCGCTTAAGGGGGTGAAGTCCTATATATAGCCGCAGTACAGCCCATGCAGCCGTACATGTGTCGCCCAAAACAATCCATCGGTGCATGCAGCGGTTTGTCTCGCCACTTTGCAGGTCTACAGTCCTTTGTTCCAATCCTAGGTCGGCTACCGCAGCTCCTGTCCCCCACTAAACCTGCTGCAGCCCCCTCCCATCAGTACATGCAGCAATCCGTCCTGACACCTTGCGGATCTATAACAGTTTTTGTTCAAGCCTAGGTCGGCTACAGCAGTTCTTGTTTCCCACTATATCTGCGTTGTCTCCACGTGTCAGCGGACAGAAAAAAAAGTGGTACTGTTCATTGTATTGTTCACAGTACTGTTCCTAGTCAGGAATCTCTCCAGTCTACTGCACAGTTTCTCCCTTAGTGCGTGAACAATTCCCAACACTAAGAAACTTGCGGACCAAGTTTTGCCCAGCTGGTCCCCTTGGATGATGACAGGTGTTGCCCGGCCATAGCCCATTTTTCTTTTTCTTGTTTTCGAGCTTCTTTCTTCTCCTCTTGGTTATAAACCTTCTGATATCCCTTCGGATCAGATCTCAACACTTCTTATGACACTTAACCATTTTTCTCCGATTTTTGGCTAATATTCAGCCAAAACTCCTTGTCTCGGACAATTTTCAATTTGGCTCGAGCAAAATGCTTTCTGCTTCGACCAAAGCTTTTCTCTTAGCCCAAATTTCCTTCCCATCTCAACTCCTAGTCGATTCCACGACTTTGTTTTTCCGGCCGTTTTAGCTCTAAGTCGGAGTATTACATCAGTCGGTGGTAAGGTTTCTATTTGTTGCAAAACTTTCGACAGCCTAAATTTATCCAAAGTTGCACTTTTGCTTCCAAGTGCATCCCTTTTGTCCAAATATCCTGAAAAATCTTTTGAAACTCTAAAACATGGAAATCACTTAAAAACCATTGAAAACCAAGTTAAAACATCTGAATAAGATCTTAGAATCATCCATAAAAGTGGTCAAAATACAGTGTTATCAACAAGAATCGAAAGGAGCTCATCTTCGAGCCAGAAGATTGGGTATAAATTCATATGAGGCCGGAGAGGTTCTCAAATCAGAGAAAATCAAAGCTCACACCTCGCGGCAATGGACCATTCAAAGTCTTGGAGTGCATCAACAACAATGCCTACACACTAGATCTGCCAGGTGAGTTACACATTTCACCAAGTTTCAATGTTGCTGATCTTTCTCCTTTTCATGCAGGTGAAACAGTTATGAGGCCAGAATTTTCTCAAGAGGGAAGGAATTATGAGGACATGGCCCCTAAAGATATTTTTCCAACAATGAAGTACCCGCCGAGGACAAGATCAGACTAAGAAAAGTGATCAAATCCGCCTAGAAGACATCACCAAAGGCATTGATCAACTTAGCATCGACCAGGCTCTTCTTAACCAAGTAGCAATGGGAATGTCCGAGAAGAAGATGCTACTTATTCAAGGTGGAGATCAACTAGAGAGGAGCCAAGAGCTTGAGGATCAAGAGGACACAAACATCACGTCTACACCAATATTGGAGTGGCCTCTACTAAAGACACAAGAAGCTCGCATGATCTTCACCATTGAGGCTGCCAACGACTAAGTGTCAAAACGACACCAAGGTGAGTGTTTGATTTATTTAAGTTTTAAACTCACGAGTTTCCTTCTTTTTTGTTTTGCAGGTTTTGTTTGAAGTCCCTTAGTTATTTTTCTTTTTAATTGAGTCAGAAACTTTAGAATTGTTTCATTTTTTTATTTACATTTTAAAGAGTTTGTCGCAAGTTTCTTTCCTTTATTGAGTTTAGAGTCGACTCTACAAGATCAAGGCCGAATGACTGTTTATAAATTCCCACATGCGACATTGTAAGGCACAACTTTTTACCCTAAATCAATAAAGAGTGTATTTTCATAAGAGTAACCGCCTCTTCTTCGAGTTCTTGAGCATTGAGTGGATTTCCGTTTGTTCTTGAGTTCAATCGACTTATCACAGCCTTTCCATCAGCTGTGTGGCGTCACATTGATCCACTGGTTACTTGTTTATCATTCACCCATTGATCTAGACAAAAAGAGCCTCTCAGCGAGTTGTCTAGGTTCCATCCTTATTCATATGAGCATATTTCCTCTAAGTGAAGAGAACCTTTTGGCCAGTCACATGGATCCATCCATATATCAACCAGTTTGGTTAACCGAACCGTTTTAACGTAGGCTTTTGAAAGAGAAAAAATGAACCTAACTCATACTTAACTAAAAAAATTGTCATCAACAATTTGAGTTTGTGTTTTGTTGAGTTATGACTCATTTACAAGTCTGAGTTATAGTACTCTTTGTCGTTTGTACAATTGGTAAATCAATCCTTAACTCAAAATCATGAAAAATATGATGTGTTAAGCTGAGTATTTTTTTTTAAAAAACTTTTGTTTTAGGAATAATTTCAATCTTGTATAACTATTTTTTATTATTATTTCTGTTAACTTTCACTTTGGTACTTTTTCACAAGAAAGACAAAAAGATTAAACTCCTAACTATGTCACAACCTGATCTTAATCCTCTCCGATATTTTCAACACATCAGAGTAAACCCTATCGCCACCTAGTTCCTGTCCTGAAGCTCCGGCAGCGATCCTTAGAACATCTTCAATGAGTCCAACATTACCCATTATGTCCACATGCGCTCCACTTTCCGTTCCTCGATTTTCCAGCAGACTTCCCGGTGGCTTGTGTTTATATTCCCGCACGAACGTCTCCATCCCCGATGGGTTAAACCGTGTTTTGCCTCTCCATCCCTTTGCGCACATAAACCCTGCACTTATTACCGGTACACTCTCGTCTCCATCCACAAACCTAGCTCCTCCTTTAAGACACACATCTTTTCCATCCACCGATCCATCTATTCGGAATGGTATGTTGCTCTTGCACTTACCAGAAGAGGTTGAGAGCTTGTATATGTAAGATCTCTCCGTTGGAATCCCTACTCCGTAAAGAGAGTACATCTCCATCTCTGGTGCATCCGGTAATCTGTTTCGAAAAAAAAAGGAACAACGAATTAATATTTCGGCCGTTGATGATTTCTTCTTGATTAGCTAAGCTTATTAGCTAATAGAAATGTTTTCATGTGCTAATAATTTCCACGGACCGCCTTGAATAATATGACACGGTATGGTCCAGTTTGTTTCTCCTTAGACAAATAGGGCTAAGCCGGAGCGACACCGAACAAATGAGACAGGCCTAGCACATCTAGCCGGACCACCAATCTTTATCATTTGTTTGAGGTTTAACCCTTGGCTCAAAATAGCCGGGATAAAAAAATTTAAAATAGGGCTTAACGTTGGCCCATGATAATATCCCTACTAGCTATAAACAAATAAGAAAATGGAACTATGTTTTGTACTTACTTGGTCTCTAATGGATTAGACCAGTATTTATAATGTCCGTACTTAGGGTCGTCGAGATTTTCAGCAATGCCGTGAGAGAAATGTGCTTCGGATCGTCTCATCATCTTCGGAGCTATAAATCGGAGAAGATCAAAAACGGTGGTAGCCGTGTAAGCTGTGTTTTCTGCTACTTTTACTATGCTTTCTCGGCTCATTTCACTATACTCCGACCAATACTCTCCACATGGTAAGCTGTCATTTGAAGTGTTGTTTACTCTTGAAAGTTCCTGTTAAGGATACACGGTAAAAAGATCGAAACTAAGTTAGATTCCAATGACCCGGAAAAGGCTGGACGGTGGCAAGAAGATTTATCTAACCTTGATGTTTAGAGAAGAGAGTTGTGAGGACGGTAGTTCAGACGCTCGTTTTCCAAAAGCTATAATTCTTCCGAATTTTGTGGGTTCTTTTACCCATAACTCTTGTTTGACACTGATGTTTTGTGTGTGAAGATTGGTTAGCGATGGCTGCAGTGATTTCCTCTTGGAGAAAGTGCAAGTGAGGTCTTCTTCAGGGGAAGCGTCTAGATCTCCCCAAATTGCCTCACCTCCCTTTGGTAACAAAGAAACTATTGAATCCCAGCTATGTGACATCCGTATAAGGTGCTCGAGTGTCTGCACCTTAAGAAGCTCCGAGTCCAAGAGACCGGGCGCCAAAGCTCTGAACCACAAACATTACCATTGAAAAATCCATAAAGCCAATTCAAATATTGATACAACCCAAAAAAAAAACGTAACTCTAAAATATAACTATCAAAATGTGAAAAAATGTAACTCTAAAGTAACTTTGAAACGTCAATGACCTAACCTCGCGTAAGCGATGTCTTTGCCCTCAGCAGAGAGCAAATTACTGACGGCTTTAGGGACACCTAAAAAGGCTGGTCCGATGTTAACGACGGCTTTGATGTGTTTGGCACACCAACCTGAACCACCACCACCGCCTCCATTGGGAAGAGGTGTTTCAACCCATTTAAGGAAGTGAAGGAAATAGATAGCCCCCATTGAATGCGGAACCACCACCACTTTCTTATACCCATTGGTTACATACATGAGTTCGATTTTACTCTTTAGTCTACTTAACGATTGGTCGCGTACCTGCTCGGATACAATTCAAAAACAATTAGTCCAAACACTGCCTAATCTATACAACAATATGTAATTACATAGTATACTAATTTGATGTCTTATCATTCTCTAGACCAATGCGGTCATATGGTGATGGTATGAATACCTCGGTGTTATGAAAAGAGAGTCTCCAATCATAAGAGGCCATATGAAGGTTCTTGCCTTCATATCCGATTTTTGCAAAATTCTCTATGAGAACTGCCCAAGCAAAGTAACATGGGGAGAAGTAGTCTGCAGCCACCAGTCCACGCACTGCTCGGACCCGGATGCCTGCTGGGTCGAGACCAGTCTCACTGTCCAAAGACAGGTGCTCCAACCAGCACAATGGCCTGTAAATAAAATCATAACAATAATCACTGCAAACTGAATCGAGTGCAGAATTTAGAAAATCGAAATGCTAACCAGATAATTAGTTAAAATCAAAAACCTTAACAACCCTAAAACCATAGCCAAATCAAAATCATGAGGCTTATCCATTTTTAATATTTATGTTATGCATTAATCAATTGTTCAATCAAATTTACAAAAAAAATATATATGAAATTAACAAAAACAAATGTTAAAATTCATGTTATATTAATAATACTTTTAAGCTGGAATGAAAATAATAGTCGTATTGCATAATATATTCTCTGATATTCTATAGTTTTAGGATGATATAGTAATTGGAATAAGGAAATTAAATCTCGCGGTTTCCATTTCCAATGATATTAACGAATCTTTCTGAAAAAATTACAACTAATTAATTAGTTTAATTTCCGAGAATCATCCAACAAAATTAGAATTAAATAAAAATTCTGAGATTTAGAATCTTACAAAATTAGTAGTAGTTGGGGATAAATAACAAGAAACTCATAAAAGAGTTAGGGGTGGGGAGGAAAACAAACCGAATCGAAACCAACCGAATTCAAACCAAACCAACCCAAAACATATTCTATGCCCAATCCGATTGGTTGAATTTCTTTCAACCCGAAAAGTATGGTTCGGTTTCTTTGGAAGCTTAAAGCACTTGTCTCTGGATTTCCTTGGTACAAAAATGAATTTCAACCGAGAATTTGTAACCCCTAACTGGAAAAACCGAACCAAATAGCTATCCGATTCCTCAATTTCTCGAACCGAACGAAGGATGCAAAACATAACGGTTCAAATTTGCTTACCTTCTAAGAATCTCGGTGAAGCTGCCGCCCCAAAGACGTTTTCTGAAAAGCCCTTCAGCGCAAGGCCGACCTTCCCATAGCTCAAGCCCGCCGGTGACTATCCCCGGTACTAGAACCACCGGATAATGCGCCTTCACGCCTTCTCGACTCAACCGAGTCCCCGGAGACTCCGGAGCCTGAAGCATCGCCGGGACCGGAACAGAGTTGTAGAGGAAGAGAAGTAGCCACCAAGCCGTACAGAGATACCCAATTGCCCAGCAACACGAGTCGATGCAGCTCCATATCCCGGAACGGCGCCGTTTTGGTTTTACGGCGGTGGATGTGTGTTTGGCTTCGGGAATAACGGTATCCTCGCTGCGGATAGTGTTGGCACTTTTAGGGGTAACAGAAGAGAAGCATAGTTTTCTAAACCGGAGAATTGAAGTCATCGAAGAATGAGTATAAGAGCTAAAATATTGATTTACTCAAAATGATTGACAAAATATTTTCATAAGGTGGAAAATAAGTTTAGAGAAATTGTGTCGGCAGTTGGCACTAAATGATAAACTAGTTATTGGTAAGTGCAAAGAAGTAAATAACTAAATTTGTCTAAAAATATTCGTTTCATCATTCCTGAATTTACAAACTCGATTTTTTAAAATCTTTAGAACATGAAAAGAAAATTCTTGAAGCTTCACGAGATTTTCAAGATCGATGAAAATATAGGAAGAAAAAATTAATATCTATTGAAAAGCCAAGAAGAGGAAGAAGAAACTGAGGAGAAGCTTATGGGTTTGTGCTTTCTTGCGCCGCCTAATTCACTACAAGTTGTTGTTATGTGTGTGTCTTTGTTACTATGAAATTTCAACATTTATTGGGGATGATCCGGGGTCAGAGAAATATTCGATGTGCTGGTAAGCTAGTAGATGTGTGTGTAAAGCATGAAGATTGTTACTTTTAGGACACTTGTCTTCATTTTTACATGCAAACGCTCAAATAGTTTTACTTTAATTTTCTATTGCCATGCTAATCAGTAATCACAGAGTTTGTTGCCACGAAACGAATACTTAAAACATCACATTTGTTCACTACTCTCTGATAATCTGACATAGCTTACATACAAACTTAATAATAACAATAAGTTAAATTTCTATGAGAGAATTGGAATTCTGAAGAATGTAGATAATGATATTCACTAATTTTAATTTACCATACATGTTCTGTATTAAATTGAATTTATTGATATTTTTCAAGAGGCTTTTTGTTTTTTGCCGTATATATCCTTTTTTTGAGAAAACAAAATTGTATGTAAATTGGCATCGTAAACCACGAAGACACGTGAGCATGCAGACAGAGTGACAAACTGATCCAAACACGTAAACCCATTTTCGTTTGATCACATGCCACCAAAATTCTCTCCACTTTTTTCTTCTTTTTTCACCCTCCATCTCCTAATTAATGATTAACTGCTAACGGGCAAGGGCGTTTCTATACAAGATATAGTATAATCTTCTTTTCAGTGTATTATGTATTAAGAAATACATGGAACAGTGCTTGTCATCTGTATTTCAGTTTGATGAATGTTTTCTAAGTTGTAACATAAAAATCTCTTGTTTCATAGAGTATGTCTAGTCAGTCAGTCGTCCCAAGCAAAGTGATATATAATATACAAAGGGCTAGCTGCTGCAGAAGTTTAAAACATTTTATTGTGGTAGTCAGAGGATCCAAAGGCCACAAATGGGATAATCGAAAAGATAGCGCTACGTCAATTTCCTCAATCATTGGGGTACACATCACACACTACAAGAAAATACACATTCTTATGTATAATGCATAACAGTATACATATGTATATGTATGTATATTTATGTATATGATTATGTATACTGTTATTAGTAATCATATACATGAATATATGTATACTGCCCTGATTCTCAAACTCAAATAGAGTCTCATTTTTCTCAATCACTTAGATCTCCGGCGAGTGCTGGCGGTCCAACATCGTGGATTCATTTATCCAGTGTAACGATTTACTATAGAGAGCTACCGGCTGCTGTGAAAGTGTTGTTATTGTGCAATTTATATTGTCTAATGTTGCACAATGAAGTATATTTACAAGACATTTATGTGTGCAGGCTGTGGATAACGGTGTTTATACTGTTTTTATCCTTAGTTACTTAACTTATTTATGTTTGTTTAAAATCTCTGGTTTTTTTTCTCAGATTTATATGAAAAATGAGAAAATAAATTTATTAGATGTTTATGGCTATTTGCTTATGCTGATTCAAATTCTATGTTAATTTGAGAAATGAGAATATAAACTATTTTAGAATCGGTCTTTTTCAGGTCTGGTTTGTAGATCTGACTTTTCCCTAGCTACTCGGTTATAGCGGTGATGGGATATCTCTCTATGGTGGCTCCTTAATCAACAGTGGCGCAGGCTCAGTGGCATTCTGGGTTCGTGGTGGCGGACGGGTGTATTCCCAACAGCATTCCTTTCGGTGTCCGCTTTGTCATATCTACCGGCGATGTCTCCTTGCTCACCGGAGTTTTCCTCTCTTTGGGTTTGGTTTTCCTTTCTCGAGCTCCTCCTGCCAGGTCAGCGTGCGCTTTGTTCTCGTGGGGTGGTGGCAGTCAGCCTTATCTAAGTTTCTGAGGCGGCGGTGTGGTGGCTAGTAGATATGAGACCCTCAACTCTTGGCAGTGGCGATCATGGGCCATAAGGACGGGCTCATATTTTCTGTCATTTGTTGTTGAGGCTTTTGTCTCATGGCTAGCCTCAGAGTGGTGGCTTGCGTCTTTTCTTGGTTCATGTGGCTCTACCGGTGAGTTATCTGAGACAGAAGGTGGTAGGCGATGTGGCTCGGATAAATGTCTCCATGGTGGAGAGATTTTTTGTTCTTCTTCTCTTCCGAGTGACCCAAATTCATTCATCGGTGGTGTGCGGTAACTGCAGCATGCCGCTGTGCCAAGGTCTCTTCAGGCTCCTGCGCTGGTTTACAAGGAGGTTTGGTTTGTTGTATAGGCAGTGAGGCTTAGGATGAGGCCCCTTTACTCCTGTCTTTGTAGACTTTGGTTTGCTGGAGGTATTTTTGTGGTTTCGGCTTCTATGAAGCTTTATTAGTACAATTAGATGATTACCTACATGTACATGCGAGTTTCTTTTTCTAATATATATTTGGGGTTTTTGCAAAAATAACCTAAAACTTGACTTTGAATACAAAGTAGACCCCTGAAAAAACATTTGGCAGAAATAACCTAAAGGGGTAGTGAAAAAACCATTTAATCATGTATGAGTAAACAAAAAACGGACGTCCTAATTACCGTTTACACCCTGACGAAGTCTACTAAAGAGAGAAAGAAGTTTAATAGTAGACTTCTTTTATCGAAATAAAGTCTACTAAGTAATTAAATCTGAAAATTTAATTTTAAAATTAATAAAAAAATATTTTGGTATCAAAATTGCATTCATAAATTAGATAATTGTAATCTAAATGTATATAAATTATTTTTTCATATTGATAAATTTAAATTTATGTTTTTAAAGTAGGAAGAAGAAAATCTATTATTTAGAGTTTAAACTTAGATTTTAACCAAATAAACCCTAATAAATTATTTTAACCAAAATTTAAACCGAAATTAAACCAAAAATAACTTCCAGTATATAAACAAACTAACCCTAATTTTAGAGCAAATAAACTCTAATACGGATCTCTCTAATACGGCGCTCTTTCAGGCTCTTTTGCCGTTGGTGTCGCTCGTCCCTGTTCTGCCGCAGCATAAGACGCTTCCTACAGCCTGCAATTCGACCAGAAGCCACACCATCAGATCCGCAAACACAGCCTCGACGAGGTCCCTAGATCTGCCATGTTGGGAGCCGTAGCCGTTTACTTCGGATTCCTCCTCCGACGAGTTCCCCATCGGAGGTACCATCATCAACGGCGAAACCGTCTGCAGGTTTGCTCTGGTTACTCTCTCTCTCTTTCTCTCTCTCTCTCTCTCTCTCTCTCTCTCTCTCCCTTCCTTATTTTCTGAGAGAAATTTGATGCAGATTATCTGTTAGTTCTCTTTGCTATGTTTAAGCTGCAACTCTGTCAAAAAATTACTTCCAATCAACTTCTTAACTGGGAAAAATCCAGTTTTTTTTTCAGATTCTTTAGGAATTTCTTGCTATCTTATGCTTCAGTTTTGTTTGCTTGTGTTTTAGGAAATAAATTCTGTTGTGAAGGTTGGTGAAGCCCTCGTTGGATTTGTTTTGGATTTTAAATTTTTTGATAAATTTTGTATTTTATAGTTTGAGAAATTGGTTTGGTTCTCAAATGTGTCAATGTGAATCTAAGAGCTTGGTAGTCGATTGTGAAATGATATTTAATCGCTGATTTTGTGAAATTTTGGATTTTGAAGTTTTGAGAAATCTGAATTTTTGGGTTTGGTTCCCAAATGTTAGCTGCAGTCGGTTGTTTGCGTGCCATAAGCACAATTCTTTGAATTTGTTAGTAGTCTTCTGATAAGCCGGTGACTTATCGGATCTCGTGTAGCCAGTGACAAAACACGAGAGTGAGAGTGAGACAACAACTGTGCCGATAAAATATGATATATTGATATCCTCCAACCCTAAAGTTAAGAGTGGCATTAAATACACTGTTCTCTTAGGTTTAATTCTACTGAAACGACATAGTTTAACAAAAGCTATCTGAATGCTTATTTAACTAGAAGACCCTCGGATTCAGCTGGAGGGATAGACTCTGTTCCTTTTGACCGTTGCTTTAGCCACTTTGAACCCTCTCTTGCCTTCTAGCGACTCTTCCACTTCTCTTCTTCTTCCTGCAATAAGCCAGAGGGAATGCCAGCTTATCAGTACTCCCGCGCAGAAGAATCAGCTTGTCCTCAAGCTGGAAGTTGGGGTACTGCGTCGCAATCCTGTTCAAAGGCTCCCATGAGTTTTCAAAAGCTGGAAGCCCTTTCCATTGTATCAATATCTCTGGTTCTGCTCTCGCCGCTGACTTTCGGATCTCCAACACATCTTCTGGTTCAGTCTTCCATTCCAAGGTCGGAGTGAGGATGGGTGGTAGGGGCTGAGTTTGTGTGTCCGGCGCCACAGCTTTCTTCAGTTGCGAAACGTGAAAAACTGGGTGGATAGCACTCTGCGGTGGAAGTTGCAGCTTGTAGGCTGTTCGTCCGACTTTGCTTGCGATCGTATAAGGTCCAAAATACCGGGGCGACAACTTTTCATTCCTCCTCAGCGCCACAGTAGATTGGCGATATGGCCTCAGTTTCAAGTACACACGATCTCCCACCATGAACTCTACATCTCTTCGCTTCTTATTTGCAGAGTTCTGCATCTGTTTCTGAGCCTTCTCCAAATTCCCCCTCAGTTCCCCTATCAACCCATCTCTGTTTTGAATCATTTCCTCCACTTCAGCATTAGTGGTGGGAATATCCTTGTATCTCAGCAACTTGGGAGGATCCCTGCCGTAGAGAGCTTTGAACGGAGTGGTGTTGGTGGATGAATGATGGGAGGTGTTGTACCATAGCTCGGCCCACGGCAGCCACTGACTCCAGGATTTCGGTTTCTCATTCGCAAAACACCTGAGGTAGGTCTCCAAACACCTGTTCACTACCTCAGTCTGCCCATCTGTTTGGGGATGGTAAGCGGAGCTTCTTCGGAGATCAGTGCCTTGTGAGGTGAACAGCGAGGTCCAAAAGTGGCTCACAAAGACCTTGTCTCGGTCCGATACCATCGTCTCAGGGTAGCCGTGCAACCTTACTACCTCCTTGAGGTACACTTCTGCAACCGTTTTGGACGAGAATGGGTGCCTTAAGGTGATGAAATGGGCATACTTGGTTAAGCGATCGACTACCACCATGATTGTATCCCAACCTCTCGACACCGGTAAACCCTCCACGAAATCTAAACTCACGTCAGCCCAAACTTGGGTGGGTATAGGGAGAGGTGAGAGAAGACCCGCGGGGGTGAGAGTGGAGTACTTGTTTTCTTGGCAAACGGTGCACCTGGCTATGAAGTCCTCCACTGATTTCCTCATTCCCTTCCAATACACCTCTCTGACCATCCGCTTGTACGTTTTTAGTACTCCCTCGTGTCCTCCTATGGGGCTAGCGTGAAACTGCTCTAACAAGGATGTGGTAAGCGGTGATTTCACAGGGATGACTAGGCGAGAATCCTTGTAAAGCAAACCTTGCTCATACTTGAATCCACTGTCCTTGTTTTCCCCACTTAATCCTTTAATCAGCTCCTGCAACTCTGGATCGTCTCCCACCTGCCTTGCTAACTCCTCGCGATCCGGGTTTAAGGGGGCAGTGAGGCTAAGGATCGCGATCTGCTCTGAGTGTGGAATCCTTGACAGAGCGTCAGCCACGCGGTTCTCACTCCCAGGCTTATATTCAATGGTATAGTTGAGCCCCAGCAACTTGGAAGCCCACCTCTGTTGCTCGGTGGGAACCGATTTCTGATCCAAGAGATACTTGAGACTGCGTTGGTCTGTTCGGATGACAACCTTGCCGCCCATCATGTAATGTCTCCACTTGTTGATGGCGAAGACAATAGCGAGAAGCTCTCTTTCATATGCAGACCTGACTTTCCCTTTGTCAGAGAAGGCTTGACTTATGTAAGCGATCGGTCTCCCTCCTTGCGAGAGCACTGCTCCTACTCCTGCTCCGGAAGCATCTGTTTCTATGACAAAGGGCTGGGTGAATTCCGGTAAGATCAGAACTGGCAACCGTAACATCGCCTCTTTCAGTATTCCAAACGCTTTACTTGCCTCCTCGCCCCACCAGAATCCGTCTTTCTTCAACAATGCGGTAAGGGGTCGTGCCTTTTTGCCATAATCCTGCACAAAGCGACGGTAATAGCCGGTTAGACCCAAAAACCCTCTCAACTCAGTTACATTTTTAGGTTCCGGCCAGCGCTTGATGGCTTCAATCTTGCTTGGATCCGCAGCTACCCCATGTTTGGATATCACATGCCCCAGGTAAGCAACCTCTTCTTTACCAAACTCACACTTCTTCATGTTTGCGTAGAACTGGTTCTGTTGCAATACCTTGAACACAGTCTCTAAGTGCTGCAAGTGTCTATCCAAGGTTAGACTGTAAACCAATATATCATCGAAGAAAACCAACACAAACTTACGGAGATACGGTCTGAAAATGTCGTTCATGACCGATTGGAAGGTGGCTGGAGCATTGGTTAAGCCGAAAGGCATAACCAAAAACTCATAGTGCCCTTCATGTGTCCTGAATGCAGTCTTCTCCACATCCTCTTGTTTGACTCGGATCTGGTGATACCCTGACTTCAGATCGATCTTGGAGAAAACCTGAGCACCCTGAAGTTCATCCAGCAACTCTTCTATGACTGGTATGGGATATCTATCCGGAATAGTGAACTTGTTAACCGCCCTGTAGTCAACACAAAACCGCCATCCACCATCCTTCTTCTTAACCAACAGCACGGGACTGGAATAGGGGCTGATGCTAGGCCTGATCACTTGCGCCTCCAGCATTTCCTTCATCAAGGCTTCGATCTCATTCTTTTGGGTAAAGGAGTATCTGTAAGGCCTAAGGTTTATCGGAGCTGTTCCTGGCTGCAAGTTAATAGCGTGCTCCCGACTTCGTACCGGTGGTAACTGCTTCGGCATCTGGAAAACCTCGCTATAGCGCTTTACCAACGACCGAATTTGAGGGCTCATCTTCGTCTCCTGCTGTCCTGCCTTTGCCTCAAACAGCTCCGTCATTTCCAACAGGTACACCTGAGCTCCCCCACGAGCCACCTTAATCATGGAGTTAAACGAAATCTGGGATCATATGAGCGCCGGGTCTCCCCTCAATGTCACCCATTCAAACCCTATCTTGCAGCTCAGAGTGTGGAGTCCCCATTTTATCCTTGTGTCTCCCAGTTTGGCTAACCACGAATAACCAAGGACCACATCTGTAGACCCCAACTCGAAGAGTAAGAAATCTTCGGTTATCTCCACCCCTTGTATAGCTAGGAGGACTCCTTCGCATCTTCCTCGGCCTGATATTACTTGGCCGTTTCCTACTGATACCCCAAACCCGACGGTATCCAGTACTGGTAGCCCCACTGATCTTGCAACTTCAGGCGAGATGAAATTACTTGTGGCTCCCGAGTCGATTAAGACAATTACTTCTGTCTCCGCAATCTTCCCCTTCATCCTCATTGACCGTTCAGCGGTTAAACCGACCATGGACTGTAGGGAGAGACGCAAGAGGCCTTGTTGCTCGTTCGGCTCTTCGCCTGTGTCTGGTTCTAACCCACTTTCAACCAATTCCTCCTCTCCTTCTTCCTCATCGTTCTCCTCTGCCTCCATGTTACGGAACCTCTGTTGCGATTTACAGCGGTGGCCCGGAAACCATTGCTCTCCACAGTGACGACAAGGATTCGATTTCCTTGCATCAGCTCCAGCGTGAGGCTTCCTTACATCCTTTCCAGACTCCACTACCTTCTTCCCTGGGGCTGAGTCGTTGGCACGCGGTGGGGCGTATCCGGTGTTACGGCTGCTCGAAGCCAGAGGAGTGTTTAGCGGAGTTCGGAAAGAGGGTCTGTAAGAGTATCCTTGCACCTCGGCCTCCTGGATCTCGATGAGCCTTGCCTTTTCTACCACATCGTTGATTCCGTTTGGAGTGCACCTTAAGACCTGATCTCGTAACCCTTTTCGCAGTCCCCTGAGGAACATTGACTCCACCACGTCATCAGGGATATGGGGTGCTTCAACTATCAGCTCCTCAAATCGCTCCCAGTACTCATCTACCGTCCCCTTTTGAGTGATAGTCATCATTTGGTCCACCACTGAACCTCCCCTGCCTGGACCGAACCTCCGCTTAAACTTTGCTTTAAAATCTTTCCAGTTCCGTACAGCATCTCGATCTTTAGTGTACCTCAGCCATGTCACAGCACTTCCCGTCAAACGCGCTGTGGCTTGTTCGACCTTTTCCGCCTCGACGGTCTTGTTCGCTGCAAAACAGAGCTCCACCCTGTAGATCCACTCATCAGGGTTTTGCCCCTCGTAAAGCGGAAGTTCTGCGAGCTTCGTCGGGGGTTCCTGGGGTTGCTCCGTCAGATTCGGCCTCTCCTGCTCCTGTTCGCGGGTTACCGGAGTAGGAGGAGCTTCTCCTTCCTCATTCTGTCTGGTCAGAGGAGTAAATACGCTACCTTGACCTGGTGTTTGGTTGTGAGAGAAGGGTGTAGCTTGCGGGGTGATGAACCCAGCGCGCGTAACCTCTCCCATCTGGTTCCTGAGCAGTTGTCCGAGAGCTTCCCGGACCCAAGCTTGCTCCTTTTCCATCTTTAGAAACTGTTTTCGCAGCTCTTCGTCGCTGATGGGTTTCTCTCCTCCGGTCGGATCGGTGACCTCCACGGATTCAGGTGTTTCAGTCATCCTGAGTGCTCTGATACCACTGATAAGCCGGTGACTTATCGGATCTCGTGTAGCCAGTGACAAAACACGAGAGTGAGAGTGAGACAACAACTGTGCCGATAAAATATGATATATTGATATCCCCCAACCCTAAAGTTAAGAGTGGCATTAAATACACTGTTCCCTTAGGTTTAATTCTACTGAAATGACATAGTTTAACAAAAGCTATCTGAATGCTTATTTAACTAGAAGACCCTCGGATTCAGCTGGAGGGATAGACTCTGTTCCTTTTGACCGTTGCTTTAGCCACTTTGAACCCTCTCTTGCCTTCTAGCGACTCTTCCACTTCTCTTCTTCTTCCTGCAATAAGCCAGAGGGAATGCCAGCTTATCATCTTCCTCAGCTGTTTGTTGAGATAGAACCAACGATACTTCCAATAATGCAGAAAATGTTGACCACTGATAGCCATTGTAAACTGACGTATAGAATTGCTTCTCGAGTTTGTATACCTTATGTTTCTTGTCAGCTAAAGATACTTCGTTTTTATTTGCTAATAATGCTTGCGATTTTTGCTTGGTGCATTGAGGACGATGACTCTGTGGAAAATGAATCTGCAGGACCATCAAAAAGAAAGCGAAGACTTGTTCTTGATGCTGACATGGAGATAAAGATGAAAGAACTATATGAAAGGTATATTTTGTTCAATGCATAGTTACTGAATGAAGAAACACAAATCATTCTGCTTATTTCTTAGTTTAGTAATATAAGCAGTGATCCATGGTTTAGATTTTATAAGCATTTGAAGTTGTAAAACTCCAAATTTTACATGTGAACCATGGTACTTTACAGTTTGATTCCATTGGTTTCTTATAATGAAATTGTTGCAGGTTCAAAGATGATAAGAATTGCAGCCAGCTTATTGCCGAATCTTTGAATCCTGATGGTGGATTTTCTGCTGCGCAAGTAACCAACAAGCTTGAACACCTAGGTCTAGAAACAAGGAGAAGACTTTGGCGTGGTGACAGCTCTCTTGAAGAAAGTGAAAGCAAGAATGAAAATGGTGATCCAGATCACTTAGAGGCAGCATCAGATCTCTTTAAGAAAATACAAAGTTTTCTTCTTTTACCACGTGCCCTTTTTGGGCTTGCATGTAATGTTGCTGTCACTTTATAATCAAGTGTTGTAGTTCAGATTTTTTAGCTTCATGATCAGCTACTTTAAAATCAAGAAATTTCAGTTTTAGGAATAACATACAAATAGAAGATTTGTCACAAAATATATTTCAAAGATTCACAAAATATATTTCAGAGATTCACAAAGTATGTCAAATCCAAAGAAAGAAAAAAAAAAACCAAGAATGAGGTTGGTGTTGACAACTTATAAATGTCTAATTCTACAATTTTTTAGAATTTATGATGATTTATTTTTATGGAGTTGATCATTTTTATGGAAATTTTTGTAAGTCTAATAACACAAGAATAATTGAAGCATAAGTATAACACAAACATATTTAATTGGTAGTTTTGTAAAAAAACATAAAAAATAACATTAGCAAACATAATTACAAAAAACATTATAGCAAATACATAAGTATTATTTTTTTTACACAGAAGACTTCATTCGAAGACTTTGTAGATTGCAAATGAAGTCTATTTTCACAAGCTAACTAGCTTATAAATAATAAAAAATTTGATTCCACAATAAATATCGATTTAAATCAAATGAAAAACATTGAGTAATTCAATTAATTGCTAACACGCATGTCAAATCCTAAAAATTATAAAAAAACGTTATAAATATTTAAGATATGCGTTTTTAAAATAAATACAAAAAGTAGACTTCCTAATTAGACTTCTTTAGTCTACTGAAGTCTACTTTGATAAGCTAAGTAGCTTAAAAATCAAAACTTCTGATTCAACAATAAATATCGAATGAAATGAAATAAAACTCACTGGGTAGTTCAATCACTTACTCAAAAGCATTTCTTATCCAAAAAATAAAAAAAATACTTTACAAATTTACCTAAAATGCGTTTTTAAAAAAACTGCAATACGTAGACTTCTACCGCAGACTTCAAACGTAGACTTCTTTGAGAAGTCTACTTTTTCATAGTGAAGTCTACTAAAGAAGTCTACTTAAAAACATGTTATTTTTGCAATTGACCAATTCGTTGACTTTTCCTTCAGTAGACTTCAAAAGTAGACTTCCGGCCAAAAAGGTTACTTTAGCATTTGACCGAGCCATTGACTAACAAAGTAGACTTCTATTGTAAACTTCATGCAAGAGTAGACTTCTCTGACAGTCTACTTTTGAAGTCTACTTTTTCAATAGAAGTCTACGAAAAAAATAGGTTATTTTTGCAATTGAATTTTTTGAGTAGACTTCACTGTGTGAAGTCTACTTAAAAAAAGATTCCTTCTAAGTTTGACCGAAAAATATAAGTAGACTTCCCAAAGAAGTCTACAGGTTTTAGACTTCTTTGGGAAGTCTACTGAAGTTTTTTGGAATTTTTGAATTTTTTATTTTTAAAAAAACTGTAGTCAAACACTAAAATAACCTATACGTTTTTGGTCAAACTATAAAAGTAACTATAACGTAGACTTCTTATGTAGACGTAAACAGTAGACTTCATACGGAAGTCTATATTAAAAAGTCAAAATACGGTCAACTACAAAAATAACCTATTTTCTTTCGTAGACTTCTTAAGCCTTCAAACGAAGTCTACTAGGTTTTTTTTTTTATTTCAAAGGATATCGAGTAGACTTCTCGTGAAGTTTAATGAAGTCTACTTTTAGAAAGTCAATTGCAAAAATAACCTTATGTTGACTAGTAGACTTCAAAAGTAGTACTGTATATTAAAATATCAGTTCATAGCCTAATATATATTTTTAAAATATATTTAACTACTAAATGATGGTTTATGCATATCTTCTAATTATTTTATTTTATTTATTTTATGTGCTTTTCTCTTAATCCAATATCTATATCACTGTGAATTTTAATATTTTTAAAAAAATTAAAAAACTAAATTAAGTTATTAAAGTAAATCATAATAGGAATAACTCATATTCTTCCATAAAAGAATTATTCATATATAACGTCATCTTATTTATAGATGAATCTAGGATGATCATTTATAATTCATTTATGTTTTTAATTTTTTTTGTATTAGGCTCCGAATGGTGACAGCGTTTTTGGCTGTGCAAAAAAAAAAACGATTTTAGAGTGTGGTACGGTTCAACTGCGTTACGTGCGGGAAAATATATTTGCGGGACAAGTACGATTTTTATATAATTAGCGGTACATAATAAAGTTTGATTGGTGAAAAAACAGCTTACGGTCCACAACAAAATGTTTGAATGGTGAATAAAACTAAAGCGGTACGGATAAGAGACTATAGATAAATATATAATAATTAATATAATTATAATTAAATTATTAATTTTGGTTAATAAAAAATAATTTCATATATTTATGAACTTAAAATATTCAAATTTTATTTAAAGTAAAAATTTATTTTCGATATAAATAGTGTTAAACAAGATAAAACCATAATTCATAATAAATAAAATACAATACAAGAAAAACAATCATCAACTATTTTGATTCCACAACATATCTGCAATTCTATCTCTTATTTGGTCCATATAATGTCCATCAGTTGCCTCTGCTCCTTCAATGTCATCTAAATCATAATCAGAATCTATATTGTTTATTTCCGTCTCTGCCATTGCAGTTGCAAAATCTGGATCTGCGAAATCTGAAATTTTGATAAAATTATTTAATCCTATTGTAGACATTATTACTTTCTTTTGGATTTTAAGACTATATCTTGGAAATTCCTTAACAATTCTCCATTTTTTCTTCCAACATCCAAAAGTTTTTTCGATAACAGAACGCATAGACGCATGATTTCGATTGAAGAGTTCTTGTTTATTCCTAGGAGCAGGACCAGAATTGAACTGAGCCATATGATATCTCACAACTCTGTTTCGTGATGATCTATATGGAGCCAAAAATCCTTGTTTGTTTGGATAACCAGAATCAACGAGATAATACTTCTCTGGTGGCGGCAAAGGAAACTCAGAGTCACTTTGTTGTGCCATTGTCAAAACCGTTGTATCATGGCATGAACCTGGTGCTCCATTCCAAATATATGTGAATAACATATTCAATCACAAATTGCCATGATGTTCAAGGATGGATTACTATGTCGATCCCTATACATTCCTTGTAATTCTTGTTTCACGTTTACGCATACATGAGTCCCATCCATAGCTCCTACAAATCCACTGAAATATGGCCAATACCTTCGATCTTGTATAAGTCTTTCAGGAACTCTGTCTAGATCTTCTATTGTTGGAGTTCTAATATAATCACATGCTTGTAATTCAGTAGCCCTAAGAACTTCAATGAATTTTCTCTGCACAGTTTCTTGGTTTCGGCCAAATCTCAATCCAACATCTCTTTGAACTTCATTGTACCCACATATACGTAAAAATATTGCCACACTTTCTTCAATGCTCATGTTTAATGTTAGTTGAAGCCCGTAATTTGTTTGTAGCGTATCACATAACTGCAGCGTATTATAAAACATGGCATTGACATTCGTAGTAACTGCAGACAAGCCTTAGCATCTTGTTGTAGCCGAGGCCAAATATTTGTCCATCCCAAACCTCTGTCTGTTAGGTCTGGTGCTCTTTCAAAATAGCGATGATAGTAATTCAAACTTGGCTGAATTATTAACTCCATAAATTGTTTATTTTCCAAATTCCACAATTCGATTCTCTCTTCGTAACTTAGGTTGTGGATGCCTTGTGATCGTAACTGACATAAACGAAAAGCCTGAAATTTTAAACATAAAATAAAAAACATCAATAGAAAATATAAATATATATTAAACAATTAAACAAAAGTTAAAACAGAAAATAAAAATATTAAATATTTTATTACATAAACGAGTGTTTAAACACAATTGTTACAGACTAATCTTCGTCTTCTTAACAACTTTGACGATCTTCGTTTCCATTTGTGTTTGTTCCTTGCGGAGTACCCCATATAGTAAATATACCTCCTGGTCTAGGTATTTGATGTCCAGTTTCAAAATAATTTGTGAAATCAAGACCGCGTGATGTTGTTGGTTGAGCGTTTGGTGAAGCTCCTGAAGTTTCTTGTTCGTTAATTCTTGTACTTTCTACTTGACCTCCAACAGAAAATCCATATTGAACATTGGTTGGAGCCATTCCCTATGAGCCACCTTGTTCAAAGTTTTGTGTCTGACCTCTTGCGTGAAAGTTTGATGGTGAAACCCAAGATTTGGTGAAAGCCCCCATTGTTGAGTATTTAAGGGTGTGCTCCACTGTTGAGTATTTGGTGATGTGCCCCATTTTTGCGTATTTGGTGGTATGCCCCATTGTTGTGCATTTGGTGGTGTACCCCATTGTTGCGCATTTGGCGGTGTATCCCATTGTGCACACGATTGAGGTGAACCCCATTGTTGAACATTTGGTAGTGTACCCCAATGTTGAAAGTTGGGAGGCCATAATCCTCCTGCATTTTGTCCTCTAGATGATGGACTACCAGATGATAACCCTCCTGAATTTGTACTTCCAAATGATTGGCCAGAACCTAATTGTTTTGGCACATCTTGGTTATTCCGTGAAACACCAGTCATAGCTTCTAGCAGCTGTAGCTTATCCTCCTCGATGCTTTCCGCTATGTCAATGAAATACTTACGCAAAAATACTAACTCCTTCAAAGTATTAAGACATGCCCAGTAAAATTTAGTGCCCTTTGGAATTTTAACGCAAGGAATATGGCTTCTGCCTTTTTCCATTCATCATAGTCAGCTTGGTCAAAAGCACATGGACGAAGTTGTTGTAAGCTTTGTCGTTGAAACTCTGTATATCCAGCAATAGTGTCTTGTATGGTGTTTCAAATGATTGTCTTCTACGACCTCCTCGTGAACCACTTGAAACAGAAATCTGTGAGCTTCCACCTAATCTTTGTGAACTAGTCCCTTGTCTAACGCTAGACCGTAAATTAGCCTTACCTCGTTGGCTTCTACGAGCAGGATTTTGGACTGGTTTACTTCTATATTCATTTGAATGGCGTGTATCATCTTCAACGGTTACACGATAAACTTCTTCTTCTTCTTGTGTCTCAGGAACTTGTGTTTGTTGCATATCACCACTGTCAGT